CTCTTGCTGTGCAGAAGCTTTTTAATAAGAAGAGATCCCACTTGTACATTGTTTGTGCTAGTTCACGGGCAACTGAGGTTTTGTTCATAAAATATTTTCCTACACCAATGTCTTCAAGAGATCTACCTAACCTCTGCTCCAGCCTATTCAGTGTTTCTATTTTAATATTTAGATATTTAATCCATTTAAATTTTAGTTTAGTGCCTGGTGAGAGATTTAGGTCTAGTTTTAATCTTTGACAAATTGAAACCCAATTTTTCCACCACCATTTATTAAAGAGGCTATCTTTCCTCCAGTGAGGGTGTTTGGCCCATTTATTGAAGATGTGATGGCTGAGTGTGTCTGGCATTGTTTCTGCATCTTCTAATCTGTCCCACTGGTCCTCAGGTCCGTTTCTTTGCTAGTACCATGCTGTTTTTATCACAGTACCTGTGCAATATAGTTGCAAGTTGGGGATTGTGATATCTCCAGCCATGTCTCTGTTACCTAGAATTGCTTTTGCTATTCTGAGTCTTTTCTTGTTCCAAATGGATTTTTGGATTGTTTTCTCAAAGTCCATGAAGTATGCTGCTGGGATTTCAATTGAGATTGCACTGAATCTATATAGCAGTTTTGGAAGTATGGCCATTTTCACTATATTTATCCTTACTACCTAGGAGCAGGGGATGTCTTTCCATTTTCTGATATCATCTTCAATCTCTCTTTTCAGAATGCTATAGTTTTAAGAGAAGAGGTCTTTGATTTCATTCATTAGGTTGATTCCTAGGTATTTCAGTTTTTTGGATGCTATTGTGAAAGGAATTGTTTGCCCTATTTCTCTTTCAGTGAGTCTGTTTGTCGTATAGAGGAAAGCTATTGATTTTTGTGTGTTGACCTTGTATCCAGCTAATTAACTGAATTTGGTTATTAAGTCTAGAAGACTTTTGGTGGAGTTCTTGGTGTCTTCTACACAGAGTATCGTATCATCTGCAAATAATGCAATTTGACTACTTCATTTCCTATTTGTATTCCTTTTATTTCTTTCTGTTGTCTAATTGCCATGGTTAATGTATCCAAAACTATATTGAACAGGCATGGGGCTAGTGGACATCTTTGTCTTGTTCCTGATTTTAGTGTGAAGGATTTCAGTGTTTTACCATTTGGTATGATATTGGCTGATGGTTTTTCTTAGATGGCTTTTATAAGATTGAGGTAGAGACCATCTACTTCAATTTTTTTGTAAGGTTTTTATCATAAATGCATATTGGATTTTGTCAAATGTTTTTTCTGCATCTATGGAGATAATCATATGGTTTTTGTCCTTGGCTGTATTGATATAATGTATTATATTGATTGAGTTGCATATGTTGAAACATTCCTGCATCCCTGGGATGAATCACACTTGGTCAGGTTGTATGATCTTCTTGATAATCTTCTGTATTCTATTTGCCAGTATCTTATTAAGGATTTTTGCATCTATGTTCATTAGTGAGATTGGCCTATAGATCTGTTTTTCGGTTGGGTATTTCCCTGCTTTAGGGATCAAGGTGATGCTTCCTTCCAGGAATGAATTTGGGAGTATTGCTTTCCTTTCAATTTCACCGAAGAGTTTAAATAGTAGTGGCAGTAGTTCCTCTCTAAATGTCTTGTAGAAATCAGCAGTGAAGTTATCAGGACCCAGGATTTTCTTAATTGGTAAGATTTAATTACTTTTTCAATTTCATTGATTGATATTGGGTCATTTAGAAGTTTTAGGTTTTCTTCGTTCAACTTTGGTAATTCATACATATCTAGGAATCTGTCCATTTCTTCTGTGTTTTCCATCTTATTGGCAAATAGGTTCTTGAAGTATGTATTGATGGTGCTCTGGATTTCTGCTGGGTCTGTTGTAATTTCACCCTTTTCATTCCTAATTGCATGGATTTGGGCCTTTTCTTTCCTTTTTCGGTTAAGGTTGGCTAAGGGTTTTTCAATTTTGTTTATTCTTTCAAAGAACAAACTCTTGGCTTCATTTATGTTTTGTATCATTCTCTTAGTCTCCATTGCATCAATTTCTGCCCTGATTTTATAATTTCCTCCCTTGTGTGAGCTTTGGGTTTGTCCTGCTTTTCTTTTTCTAGAAGCTTGAGGTTCAGCATCAGGTTGTTTAATTGGGCTCGTTCTGTTTTCCTAATATGCATATTCACTGCTATGAATTT